TATGTACAGCCTGTTCAAACGATTCTGTTAGTCGATTTTGAACCAATTTATCACAACAAGATGCGTGTTTTTGATTATCATGAGTAGCAGTGAATTATGTATGTGCATTTTGAAAATTTCTCCATTTGTACAATGAGAAATTAAATGTTTCCTTGTGTAATTTTATTATTTATTTAGTTTGGATGCACTTTCTCGTACATCGTAAATCTTTGACGTATTTTTTAAGTGCGATTTTTTTTGCGGTACCTATCCACCGCATAAAAAAAGTTTCTGTATTATATACAAAGTTATTTGTAACATGTAAGAATTTATGAAAAGTTCAAATATTCTTTTGTGCGAATTCTTTTATACACAAAAAAAGATTTTACTGTATAATATCAATAATTCTTATTAAAAATTGTTGTATTAAGATTAATTTTAAAAAATAATGTGTAAATTTGATAACATGACGTAAAAATTGTAAAAACTATTTTTTTTTTAAATTTATACTTAAACTTTTAATATTGAAAATTATTTTAAATTAATCGTAACTAAATTAGAAATATTAAAAATTACTTCAAAATACAAATATTGTAAATTATATAAAAAGGTAGGAAGAGTATGGTTAACATGTTTATGTATTTTTCTTCTTAATGTATACAATAAACTTTATTAATTTAATGATGCACAAATTCATTTTAAAAATTGCAAATAGAGTGAAAAATTCATATCCTAATATTCAAAATTTTGTAAAAAGAAAGAGAGTTAATAAACTTTTGTTTATTTAATGTAATAAATGTTCTTTTTTCAATTTTATTTAACTCTTTAACTACTAAAATATATTCACAAAACTGGCTGTACAATTGAAAAATTTTATATAGTTATGTATATTATGAACTACAATAAATTTAAAATCTCTGGAAATATAAATAACACAATATTTATAATTTGAACATTTTATTTTATTTATTTCAGGTTTTTTTAAATTTATTCTTGTGCGATACATTTTGTAACAGTCCTATATAAAAAGTCCTATTACACTCGGGAGACCAAGTTGTAATAAATTATCTTTTTTTTCCACCTCGAACAGTATTTCAGCATATATGGCAAATTCTCTGTCTTTTTTTCATAAAATTTAATGCAGCTAAATGATCAATGGTTTCCATACTTTGTCTTTCAGTTCTAGGAGCAGAGTTCCATGTTTTTGTTAAATTTGACTCAAGACATTTTTAATAATAATTTTCAATGCGATCAAAAATAATTATTTTTATAAGCAAATTGCAAGTATATAGCACTAAATGAAATATTACTACTACACCTATATTCGAAAATAAAAAGTAGATAAAATAAATGCAGTCAATGCATCTAGGTAAAATAAGTAGTTTGTATTCAGAGATAATAAATCTTATAATAATATATACAGTGGTCAATTGGTGACAACTGTATCTCAGCATAATTCATCAAATCGTTGATTGACGACAGCCGTAGGTAAAGTGTTAATATAATGATATAAAAATGTATATAAAATTTATAATATAAATAATTTCAAAATTCAGATTGTATTATTATAGAAATGATTATTTTTTTGGTTATATGGGATGAATGTGTTTGTGGAGTGGATGGAATGAAGCAAAAACGGTTCTTTAGGTGTACGAGTCATTGGGTTTAATTAGGAAGGCATTATTTAAGGGTGGAATTGGATGGGAGAGAACGGGGCCATCGGGAATTGGAGATGTTACGGCTAATAAATTTGTTGCTGCCTTTCGTGGCTCGTAAAATTCTCGCTCTCTCCTGAAAACTTTCCACGAGATGGCTCCCTCCTTTACGACGCCCTAAAAATCTCCTTCATCTTCGACACGGTGGACAAGAAGGAATGAAAAAAGGAAAGAGCTTGAAGGATTCTGCATCTCGGCAGACGGAGGAAGTACAATTTTGCGGGCGTTCGCAATTATTTAAATTTTATCGCTCCGCTCATGGCGAGCGAGCGACCATTAAGTCTCGCTAACTTCCAGACATATTTTCCGCGCTATTACTTACATAAATTACCCCCACGGATCCTGTTTTTACTTAATAAAGCATACCTCAATCAAAGTAGCAAATAACGAAATAAACCGCAAACCACCAACTTCCAAAATGCAAGTTTCGTTTCATTTTCGACGTGGAAAACTTTGCAAACTTAATTTCCAAAATAGTTTAATCCTTCGCTTCCAGCGCCATCATTTAATTACTCAACTTTAAGTAAACTTTGCGAGTTTAACGTAGTATTCGCACTTGCCATTTAAAAAGCAGGAATCACGTTATTTTAACTAGTTTGCTGAAGTCGCGTTTGTTTGTGAAAAGAGCATCGATTTTTCGACCCCTTTTAAATTAAATTTATTATTAGTATTGTGGCGTTCGTCCTTTCAAGTCGGCGGAACTATTGTCGGTTGAAACGATGAGGATCTCGCTCTGTCTCGTCCCAACTGTCTGTCCCTTTTGTAGTGGCGCTACTATAATAATCGGAGATGGCGACGGAAACGACGAGGAGAATGGATGGGACCTGGATAAAATATGCCCTTCCCGTCGTCATCCAGGCTTTTCGGTCTCTCCCCGAAGACTGAGATGATGATAGTTATAAGAAGAATAAGAATAATGGCAATAACAATCATGGTGGTATTGCTGAAGCTCTGAAAACATCTGCCTTGCAATTTGCATAACAAATAGGAATCGGGTGGAGGAATAAGGAGGGTGGATGATGATAAATACTTCCTTTGGAACAGATCCCGGAACAAGGAAGTCTTTATTTTCTTTTTTCATCAAATATGCAACGATTTGGGGCGTAAGAGGAAATAAAAAGGGAACGGAACAGGGAAAAGAACATTTGTTCGGTTGAATCATTAAAAACCTTTTGATCAATGCTTAGATTGCTTTGTACAACAACCTTACGATCCTCTCTTTTTTATCCGTAACGAAACGGGCCAACATAAATACGATATTCCAAATTGGGACACGTATTATATTGCTATTGTCTCTAATGAATTTTGTCTTCTATGAATACAGAAGAGACCTACATAGATAATAATAGAGGAATACAAATAAGTATAACAAATAAATCAATATGTCCGACGAAATGACCTACTATAATTTATAAGATCACCTTACGTATAACTTTGGACTTTACATATATAACTTAGGTACTTTAGGTATTGTGTAAACTTTTTGGAGCGGCATGTACCATTTTTACTATGAGCCGAAATGTCTTATCAAAAAGGCTGTATTAGTCCACCCCTGGTATAGCGAAACAAATATTAGAATTGGGATTAAATAATACATATTTTGTTGTTATGTTATGTAAGAGATGCCGAAGAGGTATAGTAACTAAGGTCCATGACAATATTAATGTAGCTTTGTGTATAATCAGTAATATCAAACACAAAAACACGGCAAATTGTAATTTAATTATAGTTAATCTACTAATGCAACTTCTAATAAAAGTTAATTATTCGATGCAATATTAAGTACTTACTCTTTTCCTGTGCAATAGAAAGTTTATGTGCGTGACTTAATAATTCAGAAACCCGAAAAACCTGCAGAACAAATAGTATTATATAAGTTATCTTCTTATTATACCCAAAGTCTTTGAAAACTTTTACTAATCATACACAAATCTATATCTATAAATAGATTAACAATGCCCAACAAATAATTATACTGGTTCGTGTTTTTTTCTGATCATTTGTATAATACAGAAAAAGAACTGACCCAATAATTATTATAAAATAATATTAAATCAAATAATATCACAAGTCACATGTTACTATAATTGCAACATTAGCAAATTCCACAATATTTTTTAATCGTATTTATGAAAACAATTCTTAATAATATTAACAAAATTTATGTTAAAAAGAAAGTTTCTAATAAAAGAAAAGCATTCAATTACATCTGCACAAGTCATTTTCATGAAGAAATCATCAAAAAAAGATGAAAAATAGCCATGTTATTATTTTATATTAAAAATGAAATATATTTTCTACCATTTAGTGTTATTTGTGAATAAAAATATGGTTAACATAAAGTTTCTGATTGTAATAAAAGAAGAATAGTAAATTACATCCAAAGGAGTTATATTAGCGTAGTCCGGTTTCAATCTGTCCCGATTCTCTATATAATTTGAAAAATTCAAAACAAACGAAATTTTAATTCAGGAAAATAAATTCTAAAAACAATATTACATAAAATAAATCTTTTTTTTTTTCATTTTATACAACCACCAGTTTCAAGTTTCAGTCCGGGTTATTGGCGGTACTCACTACTGGGATTATGATTATACAATATTATCTGTAATTTGCTTCTGAATATCAATAAAAATTATTAAATCAATTTCGAGATATGGTTTTTATGTTAAAAAATAAAGTAAACCCTCGTATAACGTGAGAACGTAGTACCAATTAATCGTGTTATAGAATGATTTTAAAAGTTAATCGCATTATAGGAGGGTTCAGTGTACATTTATTTTCTACCAATTAGTCGAAATTATGTTCAAAATTATTAAATTAAATAAATGTGAAATACTTTATAGAGTAAAAACAGAAACAATAAGTGCAAACGATAAGAGAACAATGAAAAATAATACTCAGATTTTTAAGAATCAAATCAGAATTATCAATTAAACATAAAAATTCAATATGAGATGATAATGAAATCAGTTTTTACTAGTCAATTATGGGTTACAATCATTAAATCAAGTCAATTACAATAAAAGAGCACAAAGAAAATTGTAGATACTTCTCATTTTATTACTAATATGATAATATTATATAAGGATTATCATATTCAAAGTGAATTAAAATTACTTATAAATGTTTTGTGATGTAAGGCATATATTTATAATAAAACGTTATAATAAAAAAAATCTATTAATGGCAGTGCTGTAAATACATAAGTGGAATAAGAATTACTTATTCAAATTTTAGTTATTAAAAATAATTATCTATTAAACGTTCTAAGAATTTAATTAGATTTAACGTATTGCATAAACAAATATGTTTAAATCAATTATTGCGTCAAATCTAATTAGTTTCAATCAAATTCAATTAATATTCTAAAGCTGCGTTCTCACTATGTATAATGTGAAACCGATATATGTTAGGCATAGCAATTACTATCGGTTACCATGGAAACCGATGACAGTGAAACTGAACTGTCAACTGTAGTTATGCCATATGAACGCATAGTAGTTGGCATGCCTGATAATTACTAATATTGGTTTAACAAATTAAGTTGCAAATGATGTAAAAAAACAATGTTAATATATAATACAATACAAAAAATATATTACTTTTTTTGCAGGATTAAGTTCGATCTGTGTCCTCCTATGTCCTGAATATATTTTATGTCAAATTCCCAACAATGAAAATCCCGACAACCATAATCCCGACAGTATTAAAATCCTGACGCTGCAAATCCCGACAGTATCAAAATAGAGATAAATCAAATTAATTTAAAAAAAGAGTCTTGTTACTTAATACGTGAATAAAACAAAGATCGATATTATGTAACATTCATTTTCAAAAATGAATATCTGTGAATACATACTTATTACACAAATGGGTTTCTTGCATTAGAGAGAAATATTCGGTGTTTTGATACTGACTCCCGACAGTATCAAAACACGTGTAGGAATTTTAAGACTCTCGAGATTATGATTGTCGGAAATTTGATCAGAACCTTATTAATTACAATCGGTTGCCGTGGATACCGATAGTGAAATCAAACTGTCAACTGCAGTTATACCATATAAAGGTATAGTAGTTGGCACGCCTGAAACATATTAATGTCTCTTGTCACGCATATTTTGTATGCGGTATAACAAAAAAGCTTATAAATGATGTAAGAAAATACATTTTAATATTGTTTTCATGTATAATTTTCCAATACAAAAAAAAACAAGTTCCGTGTTTTGTAGCGTTGAATTCGAGCAGCAAATAACGGCTTCAATTGTACATCTCGTGCGAGGGTGTAATTCTACACCTGACGTTTCGTTTTCGTTCGCTTTCTGGCAACCCAAAACAACCAAACAACCCTCCCATCAAGGTGGAATAAAAAGAAAACAAACTGCAAAAACCACAACAAACTAGAACGGTAAGAGAACATCATCGCACGGAAATGAATTTAATAGGCGCATGGGAAAAAGACGGAGCTGAGGTAAAAATAGAAGTAGAAATTCCGCATCCGCAATGTATTCAATTATTTATTTATTTTTTCAACGATAATGGAATGCGCATAAATCCGAACAATGGTGCGGTAAACACGACCAATTCTTCGATATCTTTCTCCTTTTTTTGCTTTGGAAATTTGTACTTGCACTTCGACGCCTCAAGATCGCTCAAGGATAACAATGCGCAATTACGCAATTGGAAACAAGCGTAACAACTGGTGCGAATGATCGGTTTGCTGTTGAACCTAATACTTCCTGGATAGGGTCAAATTTTTACTCACTTCGAAACCTTGAATTTGATAGTTGTCGTAGATCGATTTATTTACATTTATTTTCTTATAGCTTACTTATAAGAATAGGTCACATTTAACAATAGATTGGCGGAACTTATTATCCGCACTATGCGAGGTATTCCTAACCGAAGAATTGTTTAATTCATATTATAAGTCAATAAATTTATTGAATATTCTAAATCTTAAACATGAAACTCATGAAATAAATAAAATTGAAGTGTTCGATAAATCATCAATTTTTCATACGAACTTATTCTAACCAAAAATTAAAAATGTTTATGTCAAATGTAAAAAACTTAAAATTGCAAAATATAATATAGTTTTTATTTTTAATGTTACCATGGTTGAATGAGTATCATTTATTTATAAAATTTAAATAATACATAATATAGGGTGTGATACAAAAAATGCAGACTGTTATGGGCTTTAGCCTCTTTCAGCCTCTTAATAACAGAAAGTTTTACAAAAAAAAATCAACAATAATAATAAGAAAACAAACAAATAATAAGAACACAAATAAATATTAGTAACAATCACTTCACTGCACAAAAAACGAATGTTTTACATCACTGAGGGGGAGTGTTTTTTAAAGTCTTGGAGAAGTTGCTTAATGTGGGGTCGTTGGATTTAGCGTAGGACGCCAGCACGGCAGGGGGGTGAGGGATTTTTTCCTTTGGGACTTTGGAGAATGTTGCCCCTAAAGGGGGTTTGAAGAGTGAGAGGGTGGGATGATCTTGAAGGGCTATGCGTGAAGCGAGTCGGCCTTGGAGTTTTTTAATGTATTCGAGGATGTTTGGGAAGGTGACCAGGTTATAGAGGGTGGAAGAGGGTGTCGGTAGTGAAGGCGAAGGATTTTGCGAATGCATTTGCGTTCAAACTGAAGGATTCTTTTTAGTTGTCTGGGTAGAGCAATGGTGTAGTATGTTATGGGGATGTTACCATGGAAACCTATGACAGTGAAACTCAACTCTCAACTGTATTTATACTATATGAATGCATATGTCTCCTTGTCACGTGGTTCATGTATGTTTATGTACGTCAAAAGTAAAAAACTTATAATTCCAAAATATAATTCAGTTTTTTTTATTGTAAATATAATGTTAAATTATAATTTAAATTATTTTCATGTATAATATGTCCTATAATAATAAACATAATATATAATACACATGCTTCTATACATATCAAAAGGGACACTAATTTAATTTTATATGAAGTTAATTAATATTCTCTAACTTATATATAATTATTTATTTACTAGTTTTTATTCTCCTTAATTTAGTCAGAAGTTTTTCTACCCAAGATATTTGTAATTTTGTTAGTAATTTTGTATTGTTTCTCTTTCCTTTCAACAATACATATAACAAGTATTATTATATAAATATTGTCCGGTATGTTGTTAGTTAATACGTTAATGGACATAACTTGATAAATCATACATTTTCCACCAGATTTATCTAGATATTTTCAAAATGAAGACATGCTAATTAAATGATTAGCATGGTTTCAATTTGGAGAATCAATAAAGTAAATGTTAGTAAACATGAGAATAATTATATTTGATAAATAATATCTATAATTTATAATTAATAAATCATCATGTACCATCAGACAACTGTTCCCTAATCTCAATATACCAACTAAGGAACAAAAAATGAAATCTAAAAGATTCATAAAAATAGGTATTGCAATGGTTGATGACTGGTTCCATGTCAGTTTTATCAGTTAAAATTATTTAATCTTTGAAGTAGTAGAAGTAGAAACATTTACACCTCGAGGAAATTTGGTAATGAAATAGGTCTTTTTAGACCCCATCATATGGAGACAAGCAGTGATTAATATCACGTTGGAATCGAAGAGTTCGTTCAACATTTGAGTCATTTTGTACATAATGATTACCCAATTTTCATCACAATTCAGGACATTATCAACTAGTTTTATCAACCATGCCTATTCAATCATATTCACTCGAATCATTATCAGCCACAAGTTCTATAATATCACCTTCAGTAAAATAAACTGATGCACAATTGAAGCAGTTTTATAAAAAAACACAACCACACTATTTACAACA